TATATATATATCTTTGGACTCCTCACATTTCTCTTATCCCCTAGGATAGAGGTGTCCAAAGTGGGGCCCGCAGGCCAAAATTTGCCCACTAAGCCATTTGATTTGGCCCACCAGCAGTTGTCCTGGTTATTATATTGTAATTATGTTAAGATTAAATATAAAATACAAGTAACTGCAAGAGACATTTAGATTAGATTTAAGCCCATATATAGATTTGCACACCTTATAAGACCCCATAGACTCAAATTTTAAATTAAAAAAAGTCCCATGAGCCTTTGCTGCCTGAGCATACGTTCAATTTTCTTCATGTCCATGGGCTGAAAAAAAACTAACGAACGTGGGCAACCACACTGGCTGCTATCTTAATCATAAAAAATAAAACATCTTTACTTTATTATAAAGCATTTCTTATATTATTGCATTTGACCCGCGACCCTCACATTGATATTAATTTTGGCCCTCTCAGGAAAAATCTTTGGGCACCCCTTCCCTAGGAAGTCCCTGGTCCTTATATCGAACACCACTCATTTTACTGATGTTTTTAAACATGTTGGCTCTGAATGAATGATGTGATTCAAGGTCATATTTTGGTGTTGTGTTTCACCAATTTCATCAGAACTTTTGCATGTTTTTATTTAGATTGCACTCAAGACATGGCTGTTGTTTATGATTGGGTCACAGAGGTGATTGGTTCAGAGTTGATAAGAAGCACTCCAGTAACACCTCAGTGTTTTAACCAGCTTTAATTTAACATGATGACATCAGGCACCCCCTTTAGTCTCTTTCTTATCAGCTGCTTGTCTTTACATCAAAACGCAGTAACAAAGAGGAGAATCAAGTTGGAGAAACAAACTTTTCATTTTAAAAGTTTGTTGTCATGTAGGTCATCAGTTCTTAAAAAAAATCATCTTTAAAATCAACACCTTGAACTGAAAATCACAGAAAAGCTGCAATAAAATGTCACAGTTTTTCCATCTTCTCTCAATCTTTCCCTTTTTTTAATTATTTTTTTGCTTTTATTGGGGGCTCAGGCTGGAAGGCTTCATGGTAACCAGGTGGAATTTTTTTATTAGTTAATTTTTATCCGATCAGCGTTTTGGAGGCTCCTTGCTGTAGTGGGAAATTATGCACAGCACAAAAAGACCCATTTTCACCTTTATCTTAACGCCTCACACCTGAACCTTTGGGTGGCATAAAATAATAATAATTATGTATGTATGTATGTATGTATGTATGTATGTATGTATGTATGTATGTATGTATGTATGTATGTATGTATGTATGTATG